GTTGACTTCCAAAGCTGTTGATTTCATAGCTTTGATGTTGTTTAACTGTTTTTTTTGTTTTTACCCAGAAGGAGGTTTAAGATTCTAGGCTGTCCATGTGGGATGAACCTCCTGATAATATCCATAAATGGCTTGTTTTTTGTTAAGATATGGACATTACTATCTATAAATTCAGGCGCATGGTACTCATCAGTACTCTAGTGCATTTCTTTCTCTGAGTTAGAATAAATATGTTTCAAACTCTCTCGTTATAATTTAAAGTTTATGAACATTACCATGTTATATAGACTTTATCTCAAAAAAAACTACTATGTTATACAGACTTTTGTCTGTAGTTATTGGAAGTGAAGATATTATGCATAATGTGACTATTCTACCAAAAAGTTTTCTTTTAGTTTAAAATGATCAATATGTAGAATGAGAACAAGTGATTGCAAAGTAGGGATAAGCTTTTTCTTTTCAGAAGTTTGGCTTGTTTATTAGAGATAGGGATCATATATCTGCTTTCACTTTTCCGTAGGCAGGAAGTAATGAGAAGACAGTTTGTGGGGGTGATAACCAGATGAATCAGTCAAATCAATTTTTGTTTTTTAAATTTGAATTTTAGGATTGAAAAAGTAGTAAGACAGCTTCAATAAGATACTAATCATCCTGTTTTTTTTTGTTTTTTTTTTTTTTTAATATTTCTTTTTCACGTAACCACCAGATTGTCTGGATGTTTAGCTCCAGCTGTTTTCACGGATATGGTTTGGCATTGGTCTGCGTGCTAATAAGATCTGCATTTATTACAAAAAAGGTTTTTACTTTGAGATTGTAGGTTGATTTCATATAGGCATATGGAACTTTCTGCATCACGCATTGCCTAGATACCTACTACTCTGACCTATCCAATTCTTTATCTTGATGTTATTTTTTTTTTGCTTTGATGTACTACTTATCCTTTAAATTATCTGGCAGGATACATTTCTTCCTCGAAACCCGTCGTGGAATTCTCTTGTTTATTCAGAAGATCTAAAATCTAATATCTAAACAGTTTCAGCAGTCAACATAATGAAGGCTGTCACTTACCTCTTCAGTTGCTTTCATTAACTGGTTTGTATAAAATGAAGATTACTCTGTGACAATAGAACAATAATTTCTGCTGTACTTCTGTAAAGTCAATTTTATGAGACATAATTTGTCACATGTAGTGGGATTTTATAGTGCCGTTTACTTCTGGACACCCTACTTGGAACTTCGTTCATATTCGTTTTTTTCTTGACTAATCTAGCAAGTATAGGAGTCTCTTGAAAAAGAAAAGAAAGAGTGACGTAATCTATGGAAGAGGAACCAAATATTATGATGGGTATGAATGAACCCAATTTTCTGATTGGACTTTGTAATAAGAATTCAGGTTACCTAGTGAAACAATAGCGGAAGTTGGCTTCCTTTAAGAACAATCTTAGGACCTGTAGATGAGCTGTCCAACCAGTTGAGACATAGTTGACCTTGATTTCATTGAGCACTTCGACTTAAGGTATAAAATATGATTAAAATTTAGCATACTGTTGAAAATTTGGGTCGTTTTCGGTTAAGATGTTAAGATCGTCAGCTGTGTTTGATTTGCTAAGAAGATTATTAATAACCAAAGTCCTAATCATACTCTGGGTAGAACTCATATTTAATGTCATGTCTTCTAATAGAAAAAGACAAGTTTATACTATAAAATTAATCTACGTTAAGACAAAATCCAGAGAGAAAAGTTTCAAAAAGCCCCTCTTGTTCGCTTCTTCCTCAACTAATTCCAATTGGTTGTATTAGCTGTGCTTATGATTCTTCCTAAACATTTATAGTAATTGAAATTAGTCGCATCTTCCTCTACTTAATTGCTTCGATCTTTTCTTTTCGATATTGAGATTTTATTGTTTGCTGGATCTGACTTATTTTTAGATTAGAGGACTCAATTCCTAAAGCATGCACCTCAATTGTCTCTAGAATGAAAATTTGGAGGCAGATCTTTGGAGCTTAGGCAGCTTGATGCGACTGGAAGAAAAAGGATGTGTTTCCAGAGGGTACAGAGGCATAATGGCTAGTAGAGGATGATGCTGGTGGTGAACAGGGTCTCGGTATTATATATTTTCTCTTAATGAATCTGCACATTGTTTTTTGTTTTCACTTTGAAAAGGAAGTTTGTTGGTTTTCACAAATGTGATGGATGTGGGGAATTTTAAATTAGGTTTCATGAATTTGCTAAAGAACATGGCTTAGCATGGAGGGTTTCATGTTCATACTCGCCTATTTCTATGGCGCGAACTATACTGATTTATACTTCTCCTATTTTTACCGTGGAAGCTCTTCAGACAACCATTCATTTTCTCAAAATCTTCTGATTATTGCAATATCCAGTTATATCCTTTCTGTTTGATTATACCAGTAAGATCCTTTTTACACTCAAATCTTTTGGCAACACCATGTCTTGCTGAATCTCCAACAAATATTTATCAAATGTGTAAGCACTATCTTGATTCATCTTCCGGAAAGGAAGGTGGTGGCTATGCTGCACGAAGCAAACTTGATCTACCACTGGTTAGCTCACTGGAGGAGCTAAGAAGAGATATAATGATGACAGTATCTTGCTACCACTAGCGTGCTGATCTTGACTAAGTTGAAGGCTTATTAATGTCAGTTCTCATAATATCTCCTGTTTTCCTTTATGCCCAAAAAAGACTGAAATTAGAGGTGATTCCAATCTTATCTCACGATGTCTTTAATATGTTTGGTCTCCTCTGCCATTATTTGTTTACTCTCTTAACCTCTTAACTAATCGAAGGCAAAGAGAAACTAGAACCGAGGCATGCGATGGTTGAAGAGGACAATATACTCCTTCATAATAGCACTTCTTGTTCCACCATCTTCAGAGTCAATAATTCCGAACGACATGGCTCCTTGAAGCACCACAAAGTTGGACTTGTTTTGAAGGATTGAACCAACATGGAGTTGACTACATAGATACAACAATCTAGTCGTCAAGCCAGCTTTCATTTGCACTTTCAGTTTTTGGCTCTCTCCTACCAAAATACCATATCCACCAACCAGACATCAATGATACATTCTTTAGCGAGCTTTAAAAGGATGTCTAAATATGTCAACCTGAAGGCTTTGAGGATTTTAATAATCCAAATTATTTGTTTAAGTTGCACAGGGCACTGAACGATGTTATGGCTCTACAAGCATGGTACTATCAGTTTTTATCTCTATCGATCTTGTAGCAGCAAAGTGGATCACCTTATTTCTCGTTATATTTCATAGCCCCAAGACAATTTTGGTCCTCCGTGCTTGACGATATTAGTTTGACGACTTCTGATCATATTCTTTTATGTAACTCCTTTATATTAGTTAAAGGAACAAGTTGCCATGAACGATATTGGTCAGTTGCATTTCTTCTTAGGTATCTATGTTGCAAAACATAAAGATTGACTCTTCTTGGATCAGTCCAAATAGGCTCTTGATCTCTTGCAAGAAGTGGCTGAAAGTCTTACAAACCAATTGTCCTACTGTATTAACTTCGAGGAAAGTTAGCACAGGCCTCTACTTCACCTGTTGTAGATCCTATAATGTTTCAAGGTTTTTGTTCGTGCTCTACAATATTTTTCACCTTCACAAAAATCCTGATTTTCTTATGTTGTGAATAAGATTTGCCAATTAATGCACGATGATCAACTTAAGTAGTTTATTCGCTACATGCATGGCATTGTTGACTATGGTTACAATTGTTGGCCAATTCCTCTTTGCATCTTAATTGTTACTTGGATGCAAATTGGGTTTGCTTGCCCGGATTCTTGAAGTTCCAATTCAGAATATTGCTTTTTTCTCTACGGATCCAACTTGCTGTTTCAAGAGAGCAAAGAGACAAGGGATTTCTTAGCTCTGTCTCTGAAGTCAAGTACTCTGTAGTAGCCCCCCTAGTTGCTGAAATCACTTGGATCATTAATCCTCTCCATCGGCTCCAGTTTGCTCTCTCAGAAGCCTATAGTAGACAACCTGTAGTCTTCTGCGAGGACCGTGTCACATAAATAGCCTATAATTCAATTTAACATGCTTTTTCTAAGTATGTTGAACTCGATATTTATTTTGCTCATAAGCATGTCTATTCTAGAACATGTTAAACTCGTATTTTCAGCAAAGACCTTACTTCAATCATATTCGAACTC